CAGAAAGATCCAGTTTGTAGGGCACATAATATGGAAGGAGGGTTTTGAAATTTTGATACAGGATATATTTGAAGGCAAGAGGGATAGAGGAAAACGATGCATAACCTATTTAGCAAGCATAAGTAAATGAATGGTGGAAGAAAGTTTGGGAGAGATAACAAAATTTGTTTAGAGCTTTAAAGAACAGGAAATTGTGGAGAGCCATAATTGTCCTGCAGGGGTACAACACCTAGAAGAAGATATATTTATTTTTCAGGTTACTTTATAAATGTTGTTCCACTCAAAAAATACTGACAATCATGAGTTCAATCCTTCTGTACAGAAATCTACATTTGTTCAATGGAAAAGCAAATTGGCATTGAAGGAAAATCTGACAAGTTCTGAAAATTCCTGAGAAAGATACTAAATATGACAAGTAAAGGAACAAGAATTCTGCAGATTAAATAAAAGGTTTCAGTTAACATTCCTGGAATGTTAACCAAATGCAACTGAAATGTTGTATGAAAACAACAGGAAGAAAGCGTTCACAGTGAATCAGTCTTTGTAACTTTGTCTCAGGATTTCATATAGAGATAAATTATTGTCAGTTCTGCAATAGATTCTTTAAATTCTTTTGTTTTTGTAAATTTGTGATCAAATTATAACTCTTGAGTGTAACATTCTAATATAGAATTTGCTGCACGCATTCATTCTCCCACATAGAAGAATTACTGTAATTTTATTGTCCTCCAGTCATTACCATTTTATTTATTATTTACACTATTTATATTCAGACTATTATCCTCATCTTTGTTGTTTTTATCACAACATTTTGGCCGTTGTGCCCTCCGGCCTTCTTCAGGTGTATATTGATTTGAGTAATCTACAGGGAATTTCAATCTGAACTCTTTATTTAATCTATGTGGGTAGACTGTTCTTATTCCACTGCCCATGCCTAGGGATATCGTCTAGTTTTTATTTTAGCCTCATCCTTCTTCTTCAATTTGGAAACAATTTTTTTTAATTGCTTATTTTTTTTTATCCTTCTTTTTCTTTTCCACACAAATATTTGCTGATTCCAACTGATGACTTTTTTTGTCGAAGGGAATCTACTTTATTATAAAAAGTGTTATATATATATATATATATATATATATGTGTGTGTGTGAACACATTACATTCCACATATATATATATAAGTTAAGATTGAATGCAGATCAAATATGAGAAAACAGACAATAAGACAGGAACTCTGGTATTTTCAATTTTGTTTGGGTCAGTTCTCATTGGTCAGTCATGTATCATGTGCATTAAAACCATAGATAATTCTATATGTATGTGAAGATTCTTGTATGTCTAAATGGGCATCGAATGGTAATGTGTATTGATAATTGTACATGTGTAGTGGGAGTTCTAATGTCTTCACCTTTGTACAGTCAGCCAACACAGCAGGGTGGTATTTAGCATGAATCTTCAATGCCTAACCAAACATGTAGTCCTGTAATTTACTGGTTGTTTAATGTGTTCAAAGGTGAGCAGTCTTTTGTAAACAAAGTACTCATTAATAAAAAAAAAAAATAAAAATGCTATATTCAAAAGATTTATCATTCAGGCTTCAAGTTTGATCATACAATCCATCTGAAGTTATTAGGCAAATCACATAAACCTCAATAACTCGCTTTGAAAATTTTTGTAAAATTTTAAATGATTAATTTAGACATCAAAACATAGCCTGAATTAAATTTTTAGGTAGTTTCAACATTTTTTTATTAAAGTTATTGGATTTATTATAAAAACTGCAGCCTGAAATTATCATGTAAATTCAGAATATCACTTTTTACTTCAATATCAAGGTTATAAAATCAACAATTATCAACATCTACAAAAGAACAAATAACAAACATATATGATATGTCTTTGAAGCATTTAAATCTTAAAATAGTGAATCTTCTTCTCAATAACAGCCAGCAATCTATTATTCATTGATTTTGTTAAATTGTTTGCTTCAGCAGGTTCAATTTCCAACATGGTGGTTTTAATTGCTTTCCATGCTGTCATATTGTTTACCAATATTTTCATTCAGATCAGGACTTGATGGTGGCCATTCTATTATCTTATCTCCTGTAAACCTTTTTATGCTCAAAAAATTAATGGGTAACCTCAGATACATTAGATTGAGCTTTGTTGTGCATAAATACATATTTCACTTGCTGAAAACAGAAAATAACAAACTTATTGAGTGAGGCAATCTCCATATTGGATATATCAAATGAGCTTTGCAGAGATCATCAAATAATAAAGGACTGTTGAAAATATAACCAAGTTGACATAATGCTTTGCCAAAAAGACCTTGCACTTAATGTGAAGAATGGGCAGAGACATCGTCATGAATGAATGCAACAGACTAGGTGGAATCTTATTGCCAACTGAGAAATCCCATGGGTCAGTGTCTGTTCATGCTTGTGCTGTAAGGTCCCTACTGATTACACAGTCGTATCAAAACTGCACAGATATTCAAAAATGGATTGATACTTTTTAAACAGATCTTGTGTGTGTGTGTCTCTCTCGCGCTCTCTCTCTCTCTCTCTCTCTCTCTGTATATATATATATATATATATACACACACACACAGAGTAATGATATATGGCTCAACAATGTAGTAATTACTAGGTTATTAATCTAAAGTTTTAGCCTTAAACAAAATAAATGGGAAGGGCTGGTTTCTTCCTTCTCCCATTTCTATAATCCCTTAGTGGCCGATATATAGCTATCACTAAATGAATAGTGACATGTACTGTGAAGATGATAGTTGCCATTCAATGTTGATTCCAATATCCACATTTTCAATATCTATAAATCATCTATCACCATTATGCAACACTCTGCTCTCATAAAATAAAGCAAATGGAGTACATATTGTATGCTGTGCTTTTTAGCTAAGCTAGAGAAATGACTTTCTTTATTATTACACCTATACAGGTATGTATAATATAGATAATTATTGTAAATTTATATACCTGAATATAAATATTTAATACATCTCTGTGTGTATATATATATATAAAATCAATACAACTATACTCCACCATGAAAATAAAAAAAAAATTCAAATTCTGGCAGCCCTTTACATAAAAAATACAGCCAAAAATTTATAAAATCAATTATGATTATGGCAACAAAGTTCTAAAATATTTATAACAGCAAAGTTTTAAAATATCTAAATTGTAATTGTTGATATTACAATTAAAAAACAATATTTTAAAACACATAATTACAATTTTTAATAAGAATTTATATAAATTAATTTACCTCCCTTACACAGCAGTAATTTAAAAAAAAATTTTACAGCATTCATGCTCACACATATTCATAACATTAATTCTTTGTCTTAGCAAATTCATCCCTGAAGATGATCTTGGATGATATTGAAAGTAGTTGGGGAAAATAAAAATCATATTGATAATTACAGCTTTTTTCTTGATCAATTTTGTACAGACACTAAGAAATTGATTTGTGAACTTTAGAGGATTTAAATAAATAGACATAATATATCTAGATTATTCAACAAACATATATATATATATATATATATATATATATATATATATAAAAAGCAGTTGAAACATTTGCCATCTGACCCCAAGTAAAACCTCTTCACAGTAGTCTTCAAACATTGTTTTCTAATCATAATTCCTTGTAGACACTTTTCTCATTGTGTTTGATAGATATATTTATTGATTTATAAAATAATAAGACTGGGTTCTGACCTTGAAATTTTTTATTTTGAATGGGGTTGTTTTTTGTGAGAACATGTAAATATTTTGCCTCCTTCTGAAAGAGATTAAATTTTTTGTTGAAAGTAAAGAAGATGCCTTTGCCATTTTTGAAAACAGTCCAGTTTGTCTGTATTTGATATTATTTATAAATCTGAAAACATTGTATAAAATATGGTAAACACATTGACAGCATCTATAATAAACCAGGTTATTCTTGTGAGCCATTGTGACTACTTCTTTATGTACTGTCTCCCTTCAGGGCGTAGGTGATCATGGCTCTCCACAATTTCTTTTCTTCATAGCTCTTAATAAATTTTGTCTTTTTGTTATTTCTCCTCGACCTTGTTTCACCATCTATTTACTCAAACTCACTATGTTATGTGTTGTTTTCCTTTGTCGCTCTTGCCTTCAACCTGTACTGTATTAGATTTTTCCAAGCTCTCTTTCTTCATGATGTGCTCTAGAAATTTCAACTGTCTCATCTTCTTGTTAAATATAAGTTTTTTTTTCAGTTTCCATTTTGTTTAAAACTTTTTCTTTGCTCATATATTCAGTCCATGGTATCCTCAGCATCATTCTGTAGAACTACATTTCTGTTGCTTCTAATGATCCTAAATGAGAGATTAGGCTAAGTATTATAAAAACAGGGTGCTTGCTAGACAACATAGATTAATTATAATCTCATCTTTTAAGCCTTTGAGAAAGATAGGAATCTATTGCTCTGGATGAACAGTCCTACTTGAGAGTTGTCATGTCACTTGCATGCTCAAATAGATACTCACAAGACATATTGAAGGTAAAAGAATCAAAACTGCAAGTAACTGAATAAACCTGTATACAAGGGCTTACAACCATAACACACTGAAACACCAGTTTTCATATGATAACTGAAGTTAAGCAATATCGAACCTAATCGGTTACCAAGATAGGTGGCTGCTTAGGAATGCTAGATGCTGTAAGCTTGGATATGTAGTTGGTGTAATGGATAACAGCTCAGAATTGTTTCACTTATATGCAAATACCCTTGGGAAAGGAATGAATTAATCTCTTCTTTCCCTTAAATATGGGTTAATTAATAGGACATGTATCAGTAAGTCACTATTATTTTAAAAAAAAAAATTGCAATCTCAAAATATTTTCTGGCTTTAAACAACCTGCAAGAGGTTGTTAAGTGATGAAAAACAATCACTCAAGCTGGAATAAATGGATGGCAGAACAGGAAGTGAAATGGATAGTAAGTGAATAAACATTGCTTAGAAGTATGTTGGGGAGAGCCATGATTACCCATATCACAACACATAAAAGAATAAATCATTTTGTTTAATTTTACAAAAAAAAGTTTGAAATGGTGCATTGCCTAATTTTTGAACTGACTATTTTTACAAGCCAAAAAATTATCTTATTGTGAACTGGAGACATGGATAGCTTGAAACTGCCAAAGGTTATTTAAGCTTGTCCATTGGTTAGTGTAGACTATACAGGTTGCACATGTATTCTCTACTTTGATTTGCATCAGCATAGTCTTGTTAATCAATAGCCATGCCTTGTATGTAGTCTGATGAGGTTTCCTTTGGAATTGCAACATTTAGAATTGATGATGGTGGAGATGGGATAGGTATAGATATATTTTTTTTTTTTTTTTTTTTCAAGTTTGTGATCCAAACAGTATTGATGAATAAGTAGCATTCTTTATTGTTTGTGAACTTTCTTCTATGTTTTTTGGAAGTTGAGCTCTGGATATTCAAAGAAGCATCCTGGGAAATGCAAGGTGATATGTGGTTCCCATGAAAGGTATTGTTTATTAAATGCAGCAATGTTTGACTATGACAGGATTTCTGATAGTGAACAAAACACTTGTGGTTGCTTTTATCTCTTTATCACCTCAGCATCTTTTTTAGTGGAGGTAACAAAAGAGACAGTGGTTTTGTTGTTTATTCAGTGCAAAAGTAAATCGTATTCAGGGTTTGTACAATGTACTAGCAAAAACATAAGGTAATTTGAAAAGTTGAGTTACCAGTGTTTCTCATTTCTCGTATAGTTAATTTATGTATGTATTTATATATGTAAGTGTAATTAATATATGTCTGTAAGTATCTACATATGTAAGTACATGGGCATGTGGTTGAGTGGTTAGAATGTTCACTTTCTGACTATAGGACCTGGGTTTGAATCTCACCAAGGTTGATTTGTCAAGAAGGAGTCTTCCTCATGTTATTGGTCTGGATTGGAAAGTGCCTGAAAAAAAAAAAAACATACTATGGGTTGACCCAAGCTTTGTGAGTGAAATTGGGTAGACAGAACCCTTGGGGGCCATCAAGGGTTTGAGCGTGCTGGCCTTGTTCAGATTGTTGACCATGCAAGATAACATGCTCTCAGAAATGGTAACAAACATATGCTCAGCATATTTGCAGTATAAACCACAGGTGGGCTCTGTGATTGGTGAACAAACACAAATGCACCTGAGCAAGTGTCTGCAATAGGGATTGGCTAGCCACCCTAGTAAATGGGTATCCTTGAATACGAGTGGCCAGCTATTATTATTATGTAGGCATAGTTAGTTTATTCATGTATGTATGTATGTATATATGTAAGTATAGTTATGTATTCATGTACATATGTAAGAATATCTAATTTATGTATGTATGTGTGTAGATATAGATATGTGCATACACAGATGAGATGCTATCCAAAAGTTTAGGGGAATTTAAACAGATTGATCAATCAAATTAGCCACTGTTTTCTTTGATTTGCCAATCATTTCATGCATCTTGAAATCACTCCCTCAAATAAAGAACCTCCTCTTTTTGTTTTATTTTCTTACACCGAAGAAGCTATTTTGTGCCTTTAAATTCACTCTTGTATGTGTAAATGAAAAAAAAAAAACTGTTAATAATTAACTTCTTTGAAATCGTTTAATTATGGTAAAATTATTGAAATTTCAGAATTACAACAAATCCCGCATCCATTCTTTTCGAGGAGCTCGAGATGTTGATATCACGTTGGATGGTAAACTCATCTTCAGGGGAGAAATTGCTCGAGCTTGTGGTGGCATTGAAGGAGGTACTGAGGCTTTTGGTGATGTGAGTAGATTAGTTCAATCCTGTATGAAAGAAACTGTCCTCTTTTTCTTTAAATATATTTTTTCATTCTTTCTTCTAATTAGCAGATTATGCATTATTTTACATGACTTTGGCTTCCATCTTCTTGCATATTGTTAACATAAGTGCATATATGTTGTTTAAAGTTTTTGGAGGAAGTAATAACATTATCCCAGGAATTTTTCAGACGAGTATCATATCTTTTTTATTTTGACAATTACAATTCAGCTAATATATCCTGCATCTTTCTTTGTGTTATCCAAAATTCTGAGATGAAGCACTATTGTTTTTTTTTTTTTTTTGTTAAATAATGTTCACCCTATAAGAGGCTCAAGAGCCACTCAAGATAGAGGGTTGTTATGTGAGTATGAGAGGAGGATGCAAAAAGAGGGTAAGATTGTAGTGATCAGGAAAACATTCTCTTGAGAGTCTGTTTTACAGTGTAGTGGTTCTTTAGAAGAAGCTGTCCAAATTCAAATTCCTTCTTACTAATAGAATGCGAGGAGAATGGGAATGATACAGTCCTGTGTACTGAGCATGACAGGTCTTAGCTTTTATTCTATGAATTATTTAGACTAGTATCTTCATTTATTTATTTTATAATCATTATATTTTAGTTGGTGCACTCTCCAGCCCTCATAGTATTATTAGAAGTTCTGAGGTAGAATTGTCATTATTCCATGAATTAAACATATTCTATTTCCAGCTTTGTTGTTTTGCCTACATTTCAGCTAGTACTCCCTGGGCTCTATGACATTTACTCAGAAATTAAGAAAGGAAGATATTATTGCTCCCATTCTCCAAGTGGAAAAAAATATTAGTCAGGTTGAGTATTCTATATCAGAAATTATAAAATCCAAAAGTTTTTCAGGTGCTGACATGACTTGGGACAAATGGAAAATTTTAGAAGATTCCACGGTGATGTACAACTGTTGTGACCTCACCTGCCTCATTTTATAGATGTTATATACAAATTAAATAGCCTGTATTCCAAAATCTGAGAAAATCTGAAAGCCAAAGCACTTCTGGTCCTGAGGATTTGGGATAAAGGTTTCTCAAGCTGTATTAGTATTTAAAGGTTAATTTTAACACCACTAAAAAAAAAAAATGCTCATTTTAGAGATCATTTTTTGCTTTCAATTACCATCTCATTGCAACTTCTTAGATACAGATTTTCCACTGACATGAAGTGGAATGATTATATTGAATCAATTGCTAAAACTGCTTCTAGGAAAGTTGGTTCACTCTGTTGTCCAAGACAATTTTTCTCACCAAAATCAATCTTGTGCATTTATACATTTACCATTCATCCATGCATGAAATATTGCTATCACATCTGGTCTGATGCTTCTGCGATGTGTCTAGGGATTCTTGGCAAAATCCATTGAAGAATTGGCAATGTTATTAGTCCTGTTCTGACATCATGGCTTCAGTTACTTTCCCTTCACAGGTTCATAGCTTCCTTCTTTGCACTTCTTACTTGTAGAACTCTCTTCCAGCTCCCCTGCTTTCCTGTCAACTATGACCTTCAAAATATTTAAATGAAATATCAATTGTTATCTGCTGTCTCCTCGAGACCTGTCCTTTTATTGTCGTCACTGTTTCTTTCACTCTCAGTAATTCCTTGCATCTTAGTGCTTTGCTTGGGATGAAAGGATTCAAAACAATACTGACCTTATATCTAGACTCATACACTGACATCTGGCATCAGTGGGGAAATAATTAACTTACTTCTCAATAAAACTGGTCACTTCTGGGTTTCAAGAGTATTATCTAAACATTTGTAATGCTTTCATTTATAAGTTTGGAAAGTGCCATTAACATTTGAACATTTAAATCTCTTCTTTGTATCATTGCTGTTGTTAACACAATGAGTTGGCTTCTTCCATTTTTGATTCTCTAAAGAGGTTTCTTTTGTTCTCACAGATTACATCTGATGAGGGTTGAAGAATAGATTGGTTGAAATGTTGTGTCAATAACAATAACTGTGCAAAAAATAGATTCGAGTACATCAATAATGTTGAATATCTGAAAGGCTGTTGCCATTATTTCATGAGATTTTTCCATCTAGTATCCCTATTGTTGCTGTTTTTATCACAGTATTTCAGCAGACATACTCTCTAACTTTCTTAGGTGTGTGTTAGATCCCATAATTGTAAAGTGTTTTGAGCAGAATCATTTGGTTAAATTTCTTTTAACTTTTTGCCAATATTCCTACCAATTTCATAGATATCAGCAACAATGATGTATTTGACATTTGTGTTCTTTTCTTTTTTTTAAATTGTTGAATAAATCTTTGTTGGTTGGATGAATTGTAAAGTGTTTGAGCAGATCATTTGGTTAAATTTTTTTAACTTTTTGTAAATTTCATAGATTTTGATTTGACAGTTTTTTTTCTTTTTTTTAAATTGTTGAATAAATCTTTTGTTTTGGATCCCATAATTTAAAGTGTTTTGAGCAGAATCATTTTAATTTTTTTGCCAATATTCCTACCAATTTCATAGATATCAGCAACAATGATGTATTTGACATTTGTGTTTTTTTCTTTTTTAAATTGTTGAATAAATCTTTGTTGGTTGGATCCCATAATTGTAAAGTGTTTTGAGCAGAATCATTTGGTTAAATTTCTTTAACTTTTTGCCAATATTCCTACCAATTTCATAGATATCAGCAACAATGATGTATTTGACATTTGTGTTCTTTTTTTTTTTTAAATTGTTTAAATCTTTTGTTGTTGATTCAAGAATTGTAAAGTGTTTTGAGCAGAATCATTTGTTAAATTTCCTTTTAACTTTTGCCAATATTCCTACCAATTTCATAGATATCAGCAACAATGTGTATTTGATTTGTGTTCTTTTTTTTTTTTTTTAAATTGTTGAATAAATCTTTGTTTTGGATTAATTTTGTTTTTAGAATCTTTTTGTTAAATTTCTTTAACTTTTTTGCCAATATTTACCAATTTTAGATATCAGCAACAATGATGTATTTGACATTTGTGTTCTTTTCTTTTTTTTAAATTGTTGAATAAATCTTTGTTGGTTGGATCCAAGAATTGTAAAGTGTTTTGAGCAGAATCATTTGGTTAAATTTCTTTTAACTTTTTGCCAATATTCCTACCAATTTCATAGATATCAGCAACAATGATGTATTTGACATTTGTGTTCTTTTCTTTTTTTTAAATTGTTGAATAAATCTTTGTTGGTTGGATCCCATAATTGTAAAGTGTTTTGAGCAGAATCATTTGGTTAAATTTCTTTTAACTTTTTGCCAATATTCCTACCAATTTCATAGATATCAGCAACAATGATGTATTTGACATTTGTGTTCTTTTCTTTTTTTTAAATTGTTGAATAAATCTTTGTTGGTTGGATCCAAGAATTGTAAAGTGTTTTGAGCAGAATCATTTGGTTAAATTTCTTTTAACTTTTGCCAATATTCCTACCAATTTCATAGATATCAGCAAACAATGATGTAAATTTGACATTTGTAACTTTTTTTTTTTTTTTTTTAAATTGTTGAATAAATCTTTTGTTGGTTGGATCCAAGAAGTGTTTTGAGCAGAATCAGTTAAATTTCTTTTAACTTTTTGCCAATATTCCTACCAATTTTGAGCAAGAATCATTTTGTTCTTTTCTTTTTTTAAATTTGTTGAATAAATTTGTTTTGGAAATAATTGTAAAGTGTTTTGAGCCAATATTCCTTTTTGCCAATACTACCAATTTCATAGATATCAGCAACAATGATGTATTTGACATTTGTGTTCTTTTCTTTTTTTTAAATTGTTGAATAAATCTTTGTTGGTTGGATCCCATAATTGTAAAGTGTTTTGAGCAGAATCATTTGGTTAAATTTCTTTTAACTTTTTGCCAATATTCCTACCAATTTCATAGATATCAGCAACAATGATGTATTTGACATTTGTGTTCTTTTCTTTTTTTTAAATTGTTGAATAAATCTTTGTTGGTTGGATCCCATAATTGTAAAGTGTTTTGAGCAGAATCATTTGGTTAAATTTCTTTTAACTTTTTGCCAATATTCCCATAATTTCATAGATATCAGCAACAATGATGTATTTGACATTTGTGTTCTTTTTTTTTTTTTTAAATTGTTGAATAAATCTTGTTGGTTGGATCCCATAATTGGTGTTTTGAGCAGATTTTAGTTAAATTTCTTTTTAACTTTTGAATTTCATAGATATCAGCAAAATGATGTATTTGACATTTGTGTTCTTTTCTTTTTTAATTGTTGAATAAATCTTTGTTTTGGATCCCATAATTGTAAAGTGTTTTGAGCAGAATCTTTTTAATTTCTTTTAACTTTTTTGCCAATATTCCTACCAATTTCATAGATATCAGCAGGTGTTGAACAATGATGTATTTGACATTTGTGTTCTTTTTTTTTTTAAATTGATTGAATAAATCTTTTTTAAATTGTTTTTGTTGGTTGGATCCCATAATTGTAAAGTGTTTTGAGCAGAATCATTTGGTTAAATTTCTTTTAACTTTTTGCCAATATTCCTACCAATTTCATAGATATCAGCAACAATGATGTATTTGACATTTGTGTTCTTTTCTTTTTTTTAAATTGTTGAATAAATCTTTGTTGGTTGATCCCATAATTGTAAAGTGTTTTTGAGCAGAATCATTTGGTTAAATTTTTTAACTTTTGCCAATATTCCTACCAATTTCATAGATATCAGCAACAATGATGTATTTGACATTTGTGTTCTTTTCTTTTTTTTAAATTGTTGAATAAATCTTTGTTGGTTGGATCCCATAATTGTAAAGTGTTTTGAGCAGAATCATTTGGTTAAATTTCTTTTAACTTTTTGCCAATATTCCTACCAATTTCATAGATATCAGCAAACAATGATGTATTTGACATTTGTGTTCTTTTCTTTTTTTTAAATTGTTGAATAAATAAATCTTTTTTTAAATTGTTGGAATAAATTTGTTGGTTGGATCCATAATTGTAAAGTGTTTTGAGCAGAATCATTTGGTTAAATTTCTTTTAACTTTTTTTGCCAATAACCAATTTCATAGATATCAGCAACAATGATGTATTTGACATTTGTGTTCTTTTTTTTTTTAAATTGTTGAATAAATCTTTGTTGGTTGGATCCAAGAATTGTAAAGTGTTTTGAGCAGAATAGATAAATTTCTTTTAACTTTTTGCCAATATTCTACCAATTTCATAGATATGATGTATTTGACATTTGTGTTCTTTTTCTTTTTTAAATTGTTGAATAAATCTTTTGTTGGTTGGATCCCATAATTGTAAAGTGTTTTGAGCAGAATCATTTGGTTAAATTTTTGCCAATATTCCTACCAATTTCATAGATATTTTAACTTTTTTTAAATTGTTTTTGGATCCTTAATTGTAAAGTGTTTGAGCAGAATATTCCTACCAATTTCATAGATATCAGCAACAATGATGTATTTGACATTTGTGTTCTTTTTTTTTTTTTTAAATTGTTGAATAAATCCAATAATTGTTGGTTGGATCATTTGGTTAAATTTCTTTTAACTTTTGTAATATTCCTGTTTTAGAGCAGAATTTCATTTGTTCTTTTTTCTTTTTTAAATTGTTGAATAAATCTTTTTTATCCCTTTTTGAGCAGAATATTCCTACCAATTTCCTACCAATTTCATAGATATCAGCAACAATGATGTATTTGACATTTGTGTTCTTTTCTTTTTTTTAAATTGTTGAATAAATCTTTGTTGGTTGGATCCAAGAATTAAATGGAGTTGCAAAGGTTAATGAAAGGAAAGATTAAAAATGATTTTGAAATTAAGAACTTAAGCCCCTTAAATGTTATTGGATGTAACATCACCTGATGAGCACTGAAGAGCCAATCTTTTCTATTTCTTTTCTTATGTTATTTTTTTTTATTCCCCTAAAATTCCAATTCAAATAATCGGTTATTGTCATTATTCCATAATTTACCATGTTTCATAGCACATATGAGCACCCACACCACCATTTTGGCAGGGGATTTTAAGAAAAAAATATCACTTATTGAATATTTGTTGTAGAGTCGTTTCACAGTGGAGGCTTGTATTTCACTAAGTCAGTCCTAAAAAGGTTCGATGTACAAAATGTTAGGGTCTTGATATAATTAGTAATGACACAGAGAAATCTAGTGGTGGTCGCTGATACTCTTAGCGTCCGACATCGACTGGCTGACCAACTCATTCAGCTACTGACTTAGCGACTGCTACTACTACTACTTATTATAGGTGGGAGAGTCTATTAATTATAGAATAGGTGTGTTCCAGTATAACAATATTATTATTTCATCCTTGTTCCTTATTTGGTGAAGTTGAAAATTAATTTCTTTATGTGCATTTATTACAAATTTATCATTTAATATCTTGCAGGTGGGAGTGGATGTTAAATGCCAGCAAATATAATGTTATCTTGTACTTGTAATTTTAGGCACTATTTCATTTGCTGACCTTCTCGAGATGCATTCTACATTCAGTAATATCTGAATGGCAACCAAAGTAGTGTAACTGATATCAACATGGCAAATGGAATCAGTGATCTGAATTTAAATTTCAGGCTTGTCTGTTGCATTCACTTTCACACCAATGCCATTAGGAAAGGCAAAAGGCAATATATATCTTGTCACACTCCCAACTTAAATTGGGTTAAATAGTTGTGTAGCCTGAGGTCTCTAACCTTGAACAACAAGTGGTATAAGAGAAGGAAAACTGAATTTCAAGGCAACAAGAAACCATTGTTTTTTCAAGAAGTCTTGGCAATTCACAGTTAATAAAGAAATACCTGTAGAGAGATATGATTGCCTACATTCTGATTGGACATGACATTTAAAAAATGCTTGAACATAATCTTTGCTCTATATATTTATATTTTTTTTTTTTTACTTTTTATTATTTTGAGAAAACCTATCACCATTCCAATTTGAATAATTAACAGATTGGGGGTAAAAAGATATCCAGAAAATTTTAAAATGAAATAAAAAAAAATTTGAAGTTCTTTTGAAAGAGTTGAGATCTTTTATGCTAATTTCTTGAAGTTTAAAATGTTGGATGAATCTTTGTCACTCAGATCTGTGAATTGTTCTAATTGGTAAAAGTCAGTAAAAAATATTGCTGATAAAATATGGGAAACGGATCAAAGTTCCTTAATGTGGCATGCAGCATTTTCAGATTAGGATGAATTGTTCCAATTGGAGTGCTGGCAAAAGTTAGCAAAAAGTAGTAAACAACATAAGCTCTTTCAAAATGAAAAAAAAAAACTTCCAGTTAGAAGAAGCCATTGGCTGATTGGAAAAGGTGAAGTCAAGTGAAATTGATTAGAATGTAGTTGATTCTAATTCTGGTTGGGAATTGAATCAAGTGTAGAGATAATCAGATGAGAATCTCTCAAGGGAAAAGAAGAATAAAGTTGTTTAAAGTGAAAACAGTTTAACATTTTGCTCAAAATAATTTACCAGTTGAATTGGAGAGTAATTTTTGATTGTCTAACTTAGAGATCAAGGATAGAAGAGCAATAATAATAACTGCCAATAAAAAAAAAAAACATTGTCAGTAAAATACATTAATTTACAAATAATGTGACAGAGAAAGGTATATAGATAGTGAAATGATATTCAATGTGGAAAGATATTCTAGAAAAAAAAAGGAAATTTTTTCTATGAGGAGTTCCCTGAAAACTTCTTGTTCACCAAAAACTAGGCCCAAGTACCACTCAAGTTAGAGAGTTACTGAAATGAAGTTGTATGTTAATAAAGAGAGGAAGTAAGAATTGCATATTATGAATATATGTATATATAGGATAGATAATGGTTGACCATCAACTTGAAGAGGTTAAATTGTAGTGATTGGAAAAAATCTCCATTCTGGTGCTTGTTCCATAACAGATCTGGGGAAAAAGCTGTCTGTGGAACTTCATCCTTACCAATGGAATAATAATAATAAACGGCCAGTAACAGAAACACCATTGTCAGTAAAATACATTCATTTACAAATAATGTGAGAACTCTTTCATGACATTAATCCATATAATATCCTACAATTTTTTAAAGAAATCAAACTGTATTCCAAAGTATAACATCAACAAAACTACAAAATTAAACACACATATCACTGCCTCTAGTAATCATGTCCATACAAACATACGTATGCCCAAAAGCTGAGTACTGCCATGTATTTAACTGTGAAAGCAGAATAGCATATATGTTTATTACTTCAAAGCCCACAATAAAATTAACTTTTGCCATTAAATGACCAATAAGGAGTTGGTATATTGTTAAACAAATCAGATAAATCCTAATGGTGAAGGTCTAAATGAACGAATGTAGCTTACCTGAACATTTGCCATAAAAATAGCGATAGAGTAGCAAGAGGTTAACAACATTTCATCTTTGGGAAATGGGTTGTAGGGTGGAAAATAATTGGATATTCACGATGTAGGATTTGATAATTAAAGACTTTAGCCAGCAGTGTTTGATTGCTGTTTCAGTCTTTCTTCTGAGATGCTTTTACCAAGTCAGAGTTTCTGTTTTACTCATTTTTTTCATATTACAATTACCACCCAGCCAGAAAGATTTTTTTACTAAATTAGTTCCGAAGGGAGATAAATATGATAATCATGTTGTAGTCTATATCATCATGATGCAATTTCTGTTTATGGGTTTGTTACCACATTACAGCAAAAGCAGCACTTCATAGCAAGATTTTTGTTAGGGCAATACTATTAAAGCTTGGAAATATATAAAGCAATTTCCACTGTGCAACTTAATAATAGCATGAGGTCAGCATTCACACTCAGCCTGATAATCGATATAATAATTTGATTTCTCAAGGGAGATAACTTCAGTTACATTAAATGTTGGTTATAGAATATTTCTCCTCCTCTTTTATTTTTTAGCAAGGTAATTTTCTGCATAATGCTTTACTGGTTTCTATTCAAACTCACCCCAAGTGATGTAATGTTTCAGTAATGAAGTATATTAAATACGATTTAAACAGTAATTTGCCTAATTTTAACAAATAATAATAATACAAAGTTGCTTAACATTGAGCTTAAGGGCCACTTTTTTCAGTGTTTAGGGAGTAAATGTAATGAATTCTTCTGTTGAATTTTAATGCTGAATTATTACATTGAAAATATAAAACTGAAAATGGTTAATTATCATTTACCAAATATCTATTTGGGTTTTCTGTTGTCAGACGATCCTGTTTAGTGTGGAAGAGGAAATCCTGGAAGCCGTCTCTCGGAATGATGAAGCCTATGAAGGTGATGCCCTTGAGGACATTAGCTGGGAAGAGAATCTGGATATTCATCGGCCAAACACTGCTACAATTGCTGACGATCATGATGATGGGGTAAGAAAAAAAAATGTGTGTTTGCAGAATATGCAAGTTGGCACCTGTATCAGATTGATGCAAAAGTCTCAAGCAAAAATGATCAAGAAAATTTAAAAGTTTCTTTGAAGTTTACTCCACTCTATATTGCTTGTATGTAATTCTTACAGATATTATATTTTAAACATATTGCCTGATACAAATATTATCAAAGTAGGGATTTGGTCTTCTCAGTGTATGTATGTGTGCATATACACGTGGCTACTCAAAAGTTCTCCACTTTAATTCCTGCAGGACAATAGCTTTGTGGATTAAAGCATTGCTTGGTGATTTCGGTGACATAGTAATTGTGTGTTCAATCTCTGGGCCAGGCAGTAATAAATGAGTAGAACTAAAATAAATGAGAACAGTTTATCCCTGTAGATTAAATAAAGGATTCAGTTTGATTGACATACATCTGATGAAAGCCAGATGGCACAATGGCCGAAAGATGAGAACAATAGTCTGCATGTAAATAATGTAAATAAGTGAATTTTTTGTTTGGAAATATGTATAATTGATTTGTGTTAATCCTTTCAGGATCGACCTTTCACCCGAGCATGTGGCATTATTAATGAAGTAGAAGAGCAGCAGCATCAGTTATCTGCCCTTGACCTTATGAACTCTGTGGACAAAGAAGTGTCACTTCTGAAAGGAAAACGTAATTACAATCCTAATTAACCATTTCATATTATTAATGCTTTTTCTTTCTGTGTTAGCTTCTGGTTAGTTTTTGTTCATCTTGTACTTTTATTCACATGTCATTTATTCATGTTATTAAGAGTCTATAATCCAAAAAGTAAGCTATATAGATTGAAAAAAAAAAAAAATAGCTTCCCATGAGACTTGAACTTTCAACTTCAATCTTGAGACCCATGTGACATGGATGTTGTCGATACTGATTTAGTCATAAATAAATGTTTTCCTGGGAAAGTGAAATCAATTCTACAGTTAGATGGCCACTACTTATATTATCTGTTTATTTATGTCATGTTTTTTTAACTTCCTAATGCTGAGAATAACATGGACTCAGTATGTAAACAATGATGAAGTTTTACAGAAATTTGAAACAAAAGGACACTTATGCTTAACATCAAAAAGAGAAAATTTCTAAGGCACATAATGAAGAAAGAGGGACTAGAAAATTTGATACTCACAGGACAGATTGAAGGCAAGTGAGACAGAGGAAAACAATGCATAACCTACCTGTAAACTTGAGTATATGTATGGCAGAGAAAGTTTTAGGAGTGATAACAAAAGACAAACTCTATTAGGAGCTACAAAGGACAAGAAATTATGAAGAGCCATGATTTCAATGTCCTGATGGAATACACAGCCCATAGAAGAAGAATCTGCTAGTCATAATAGACTTGAAGTTTCTGGAATTTATCAAATGAACTATTTCCATTATTGATTTTGACAAGCTTTTCTCTAATTATTGATAACACTTTAGTACAGCATTTATATTATTATGTTGTATAAAAAGGATGATAAGTCATGGAAAAACAATTCAATACGTTGTATGACTGTAATATTAAGGAATGGGAATTAAAGTAGTATCCATTGACAAGAGTTGAACTTACAGTCTATATATATATATACACACACACACATTTTTATATATGTAGGTGTATCAAAATTCTAGTGTTTCTTTGTGAGATTTGGATGATAATGTATATTCATAAGTGTTTGTGTCTAGTAGGCATTTTTTATGTTTAATGATTGTCTGCATATTGATTTGGGGATGTTTTAACATAAAAACCATTCGTGGTAGATAAACATGTTAAATTCTTTAAGAAGGGATTTAATAAAATTTGGTGATGTAATATACTGTTTTTAATTTGTGCTTATAGTTGGTTAAATATTTTTTAGGATCCTCTCGAAGTATTTTAAACATAAAGATTTATGTGCTTTATTTAATTAGGGTGACATTTGTAAAATCAAAGTTATGACCAGTTTTGTTTCTGTGTATTATGGCCTAATTTTGATTTTTACAAATGCCAACTATAAACATATGTCAAAAACACTGTATTATATCACCAACTTTTATTAAATACATTCTTAAAGAATCTAGCATCTGTTTATCTATTATAAATGGCATTTATGTAAAAACATCTCCAAATCAATATGCAGACAGCCACCAAACATAGATAATACTTACTAGACACACATGCACTTGCAAATATACATTATCATTCGAATCCCACATAGACAAAGTAGAATTATGTTATACTTACATACATAAAGGAATATTTATTCTGAGAATCTGTGAATTTTTTTGAACTTTGAAAGGACACATCATCTCTCCTTGAGTTCAGAATACTATAAATTATACTAACACTGTTTGACAAGTTATATGCATGTGAAACCAATGGAAATCAAACATGAAAATAAAAATATTAGAACTTTTTCTCCCTATCTCTTTCTCTGATAAATCTTTAATAATAATAAAGCATGTTACATTGATAAATGTTTCCTATTTGTTCTTTATCCTATCATTCTGTCAGATTCCAATTCATATATATATATATATATATATATATATATATATATATGATAAAAAATATAGTTTTAGGGTTTACTATATTTATGGGTAAAAGTGCTCAATATCAGAGACAGAGCATTTAAATGTAAGAGTGTACACTGCGATCAATGCAGATGTTGCACTCACAGAAAATTTAACAAAAATCCCTCAGTATAGTTGCAGGTGGGCTCTGGTTGTTCAACTGGCAGTTATGTGTCTCAGTTAGTGCCTGCAACAGGGATTAGATAGCTGCCCTAAAAGACAGGCAAACTTAGATACAACTGGCCAGCCATTATATATTTAGCACTGACTAGGTAAATATCGCTTTTTATATTATCAGCATTAACTCTTTGAACTAGTTTTGTATAGTTCACCTTTCGTTTGATAATTAGGAATGTGTATATATGTCTAATGAAGGAATGCATGCAAAAGATTTGTTTGAATTTGTTTATGGTACATTTCAAAATACTTTTTCCCTGACATTTTATTTCTGGGATCTTAAAAGCTTATTATTCTATCAGTGAATGAGACAGAACGTGTGTCGTTTTATGTTTATATTTTGTTTTGTGTTGTGCAACTTTCAGGAAATCTTTGGTTAATGTGGCAAAATGTCTACTCAGAAAATAGCATGCTAATTGAAACCATGTTAATTGAACTTTTAAAAAAAGGGGTAATTAATCCTGTACTTCAAATTTTAATAAAATTGAAAGTGACTTTTCGGATAAATATTTAATGCTGAGTAGTAAAAAATAAAAATAAAAATGTTGCAAAATTATAAGTTTTTGAAAGGATAGGCTCTTTTTGTTTTTTATTAAAAAACATTTTCTGGGGATATTGTCACAAAGAATGTCAAACCAAGCAACAGCATGTTTTGTGTATCCTATGTTGGAAAAGAAAGAAAGAGCACATGTGACTTGTTTATATATGAGATCGTCATGCAAATTTTTGGTCACACATCAACCAATCACTGGCTTCCTAACCTAGATATAAACAGGTCTTGCATGTAGCCACTGAATTGGCTCTATGATTCATTACATGGCGTGAAGGAAGATTTCTTGAGATGTTCATTTGTTGTATTGAATTTTATCCTCTCAAAATTCTGTTACAGGTACTTTACTCACTTTCTTTACTCTTGTGGTATTGATGTAGAGCTACTTCCATATTATGATAAATTTGACTGCAACTTTCCATCTATTGGGTCAGCTTCAGTCAGAATTCCTTCTGAGTGAATTTGTTTCTTTTATATACCATGTCCTTTCAGAATGTGGACAGTCATGGCTCTCTGTAAGATTCTGTTTTTTGTTTCTCCTTTCATACTTTACCAGCCATATTTATCTTTATTCTGCCATCCATTCATGCAAAATCTTACTCGCTGTTTTTCCTGATTCTCTTGCCTTGGATATTTCCTATGAGTATTAAATTCTCCTGGCCATCTTTCCTTATTATGTGTTTCATATTTCTTTCAAAGAAGTATAAACTTTTTTTAAAAAGTACAATGTGAATCTCTCTCTCTCTCTCTCTCTATATATATATATATATATATATATATATATATATATATAAAATATTGCTGACACATCAAGTCTGGTGCTTCTACTATGTATTTAGAGATTCTTGATAAAATCCAAAGAAGAATCTACAATCCCGACCTGGAATCTCAGCTTCGGTCACTTTTCCACCACTGTAATGTGGCTTCCCTGTACCTTACCTATGAACTTTACTCTTTGATAGCTCCACTTTATGAATTTAAGTTCAGTACTTGACTGGCAGCTAGGTCTCCTCATTTCATGGTTGCTAGATTAACCATAATTTTATACTCGCAGTTTCTTGTCTTGTACTTCTTGCTTGTTTCTTCTCTTCTAACTTCTTGCTTGCCTGTCAACTATGATCTTCAAAAATTTAAATGCAACATCAATCATCATCTTCTGTCTTCTTAATTCATGTTCTTTTATTGTTCTCTCTTCTTTATAATGTTTTTCTTTTTCTCATATTCTCACACTCAATAACCCCTTTGCACCTGAGTGGCCTTATTGCCTTGCTTGGGGTGAAATGATTAAAAAAAACTCTCTATCCGTGATATCGAGCATTCATTTTTTGTAATTATACCAAATTTTAAGCAATATATTTCTGTATATGGTTTACCCATTTTTCTCTGAATGTTGGGAGAAACATTTGAAAATATCTCTAAAGCAGTGGATGCTGAGTTTAGATTATCTGATGGGATTGACAGTCATCAATACTTTAGCTAAAAACAGAAACGTTTCTTCAACTAGTTCATAATCTTCTTTATGCAGATTACTGTGCACTTATTGTGCTAAGCTTAAGTCATACTGGATTACTTTATTGAGTCTGCAAAATCTTTTGGACTCACAATCAGCATAAAAAAGATGGAACTACTTAATCAACCACAATGTAATAATCCACCTGTTACAAATCCCATATCATATGTTGATGAGTCCACTTTTTAAATAATGAACTCATTTACTTATCTAGACTTGATTATCAACTCTGATACAAAAAATGGATAAGAAATAAGAATATCCTCTACAGTATTTGGCAATTTATACCATAGACTTTAGAATAAGTCTAATATGTCATTAACTGTTAAAATTGATATACGTAAATCAGTTGTCTTGACAACACTTTTGTATGGACTTTATATTGTATGCCTATCCAGTAATTAAATTCTTTCCACATGCATTGTTTACACTGAATCTGTGGTTTGAAATAGAAAACAAGGTAAAAAATTAGTGAGATTCTGTTAAAATGTGGCATAACAGGAATTGAAGTCTTTCTAATTAAAATAAACTTGGGTGGTCTGGTCATATAATTAGGATGACTGAGTTCTAAAACAGATATTTTTCGGTCAGATGCCAAATTCATCACATTCTGTAGGTTATTCTCTTCTGTGATACAAAGTTAAGTTGAAAAACAACATGGAATTATGTGGTATTGATATAAAATCTTGGGGCAAGTTAACAAAATCCAACCCTAAATGGAAGACATTATCCTTCACACAGCTTCAAACTTTTGAGAATGCAATTTTATAATATTTTAAGCCAAAAATTAAAGGAAAGACATAACAAAAACACAATTGGCAAAGACTTTTGGGCTTCAGAGCAATAAGTAAAGCAGGACTTGTACAGCATTGCAAAGTTCATAGGAGTAAATAATGAGCCACTTTATAGTGAAAAAAATTCTCATCGCATATGTATACAAAAACATCATAGTGTCAAATCAGCTAAATTTAACTTTCATCAGTTGAAAGTTCAGCAGATCTTATAAATTTGATGTACAGTGTATGGAAGACATTTTGCATTGTACAGATCCTACACTATGATCCTATTCAAAAGAGTCAACACATTATTCCTTTTCAATATTCACTTCCAAAAAGATTTATGTTTTGTCATTTGGTCAAAGTTTGGAAAGTGGATACAGCTGAGTACTTTTCATCACGTCTTTATAGATTGCAGGGAATATTTTCTTGGTCATGGCAATATTGTAGTCACTTAATCTTCATTATATATCCAATCATATGAAACCATTTTGATTGTAATATTGTATTTTTTTTGTCTGTATTTCTTTTTAGATTTGAAATTAAATTTTATGCAAACTTGGGGTGATCTGCATTATTTGGGCCTGACAGGTTTGGAGGTGTTTGGTATTGATGGTCAAAGTATTCCCCTGCATGTAAACATGATCACTGCTGACCCCCAGGATCTCCATTCTCTATCTGGTCATGAGAGAGATGATCGCACACTGGACAAGTAAGTAAAATCTTTTCTTTTGTCATTTAGTGTTATATAAACCCACTGTTCTCTTCCTGATATGTCTTTTTCTATCCATCCATCTCTCTGTCTTTCTCTCTCTCTCGATATATACATATATATATATATATATATATATATGCAGAAATATGGTTTTAAAGTGTTCTATATTTATGGGATAAAGTGTTTAATATCAGAGATAGAGTGTATGTAAATATAAAAGTGAGCATTGAATCAACACTTGGAGGCGACAAGCTGTTTCATGCTAGATGCAATCATCAGGCCACAAGTGTTGGATTTTTCTTGACTATTTATATATATAGATCAGTGGTGCATTGTGGGTAATCCATTCTGGCAGTTATTTTGGCAGGAGTGGCTTGTTTATTTATTTATTTGGGTTAATTTATTTTACTTGTTTTAATTTTAATTTTTTATTTTATATATTTATTTATTCTTTTCAGTTTTCGATGATTTATTAACATAGTAAAAAATTTGGGGTGGATTTGTTTAGGTTGCTTATTTAATAGTTTGTTTTGGTCTAAGAAGATAAAGCTATTTATTCATCCAATTTAGTAGTCTATTCTGCTATTTTGGCTGGGGACAGTTTTAAATTTGAACAAGGGAATGACGCCTATCCAAAATTGAGGAATATTAAAATGCATCATTTTCCTTCACAGATTATAACAATGATTTAAAATCAATCATCATTTTCTTGTAAAAAAAAAGGTGTGACATGCAGCAAGTGCAGGTAATTTGGCTAGTGTATATATATATATATATATATATATATATATATATATATATATATATATATATATATATATACATGCAGCATGCCATTTCCAAATTTCTGGTGGAGTAAATTGCATCACAGTGGCCCTTTCCACAACTACTCTATTGTGCAGTGGACAAAATAAAAAACAAATGGTGCACATGTGCAAAATTAAAAATGTAAAAATGCGATAATTTACCCATCACACCCTATTACCCGACTGCTCTCAAAGGACAGTTTGAGGTTACTTACCACACCAGAAAATAATCTGTAATCATTGGCGGGAACACTTCTATGAACTACTGAATTGATCATGTATTTGTTGACAACAGCTTTGTTGACCAGCTCGATCAACTTCGAATCAAGGATAAGCTGGACAGCCATCCAACTGTTCCTCATGAACGGTTGGATGGCTGTTTCCAGGGCTGTTACACAAATGAAGAATGAAAAAGCACAGGTCTGGATGGAATTAGCGCTGAACTCCTTAAATGTGGTGGCCCTGGACTGAATGAGTTGTTACACTAGGTGTTCCTATCCATTTGGGCTGTGGGTGCATCTCAGGATTGAAGGGATGTGATTCTCATCCCTTTGTTCAATAAAGGTTCTTGGAACCTCTGTGACTGAGGAATTGTTTTACTGTCCATTGTTGGAAAGTTTTTTGCAAGAGTTCTTTTGAATCACCTGGATATACACCTAACCCCATCCATTCTTCCAGAATCTCAATGTGGCTTTCAGTCTGGGCGTGGCACAGTTGATATGATCTTTTCGGCTTGCCAACTTTAGGAAAAGTGTATTGAGCAGGGTCTTGATCTCTATCAGTGTTTCATCAACCTTGCGAAGGCATTTGACATGGTTAACTGTGAGATGCTTTAGAAGGTTCAGGAGAGGGTGGCCCTTGTTCAATCTCTTCACAGTGATAAGAATGCCTGGGTTAACTTGCAGACCCTGTGTCAGTTGTGAATGGGCTTAAGCAGGGCTGTGTTCTTGCACCACAGCTCTTTGCAATCTTTTTTGCAGTTGTTTTCAAGACAGCTTTAAGAACCAGTGTCAATGGCATTTACATTAGCTATTGATCAACTGGCAAACTGTTGAATCTTCATTGCTTCAGAGCTGGTTCATTGGTACTGAAGGCTCTGGTTCAAGATCTACTATATGTGGATGACTATGACTTGGTTACACACACACAGGGTAAGATGCAGGAACTCATGGACTGCTTCTCTGGAGCCTGTACAGCCTCAGTGTGAGCAATACTGTGGTTATATATCAGCCTGCACCAGGCAAGAACTTGGTGAATCCTGATATATTTGTGTATGGGAAGTGCCTCAAAGTTGTTGATCATTTTGTGTACCTTGGTAGCGTACTATCTCAGGATAATTATTTGGACAGAGAGATCTGTCCCAGGATGGAAAAAGTAACCACATCTTTTGGTTTGCTTTAGAAGAGGGTTTGGAGCCAACGTGATATTAAAACCTCTACCAAGTTGGGTGTATACCAAGCTTATATTCTCCCTTCCCTTTTGTATACCTGTGAGACCTGGGTTGTGTACATTTCAAAGCCTTTGAAAGATCTTTGAAGGATCTTGATGATAAAATGGCTGTCATTTATACCTGACATTGCAGTGCTTGAGGGATGCCAGATTCTTAGTATTGAGAGCATGCTCTTCACATCTCACCTTCACTGGTCTGGTCACCTTGTCCACAGGGATGATCACCACATTCCCAAGCAGCTGTTTTTTTTTTTTTTGAGAAATCTCTATTGGTAAGTGTCATCAGTGCAAGCCAAGGTTAAGATTTAAGGACTGTTTCAAAAAGTCTTTGAAGGATACTACCATTCCTGTAGAAAATTAGGAAGAAATGGCTGCAAACAGATCTGGCTGGAGGGCCACCATCTATCAGTCTATCAGAGAGTTTGAATCATATTGAATCAATCAAACTTCAGCAAATAAAACATGCTGCCAGAAAGGGTAAGTCTGGTTACCTTAACACTCAAATACAGAGTAAGGAATGTCACATCTGTGACTCATATGGGCGAATGTGTCTCTCTCTGTTGGTTTCATGTTATATGCAATCGTCAGCCTGACGATTGCATATAGCATGAAACAGACTGTCGCCTCTAAATGTTGACTTCTATGTTCACTTTTATATTTACACACGCCTATCTCTGATATTGAGCACTTTATTCCATAAATATAGCAAACCATAAGACTATATTTTTATATATATATATATATATATATATATATATATATAAAGAAATAATCATACATAGAATCAATGTAAAATATATGCTGCCTAATATTATATACATACATATATATAAATGGTGAAAATAGATGTCTTAAAATAGAATCATTGGCAGACTATCCCTAACTAGAGGTGGTCGCTCAGCTTCTAAGGAATGTCTTCCACTTCAAAGAATATCATGCAGTGTCTTTGTAGTTTCAAACTTTTCAATCAGATGAGTAATTGTTGATAGAGCAAAAGGATCCCATTATAAATTGTTCTTTGTTTTATAAGCTCTCATCATTGCTACTGCATTCTCATAAATCAAGTGGGAGACATTCCATAGAAGCTGAGTGCACACCTCAAGTTATGGATAGTTTTTCAATAATTCGATCAAACAACAAAATGGAGGAACAATTGAAAATTTGTTGTAATTTCATAAACCCCATTTCATACTCATTTATTTAAAAATGTCATTTTCACAATTACTTACTTTGCATTATAATGATTTTAAAACTTGTGTCCATTTATTTTCACCGTGTGTGTGAATATATATATATATATATATATATATATATATATATTTATTGTCCAGGTTTCAATTCTCAGTAGTGGATGCACACTGCTGATGAGTCCCAAATATAGGACGAAACGACCGTCCAGTGCTTTCTGCATTCTGTTGAGGCTTCTTCTAGACTCGATGAATTACTTAATTATCTCAAATCCGCCTTAATTTCTATCATTTTTATATATATATATATATGTATATGTATATATATTTGGAGGTGGAAAATATCCTTTTTGCTAGCAGAGTACATCTAAATTATTAAACATATTGAATTATTTTCTCCTCCTATAAACATTTTATGGTTATTTTGTTGATGCCTGTTTTTTTTTTATTATTTACATATGAATTGTGAATTACATCTACTGGCCTGTGCATTTGATAAACTTTGCAATGAAAATGTACTCTCTGTCTCTTCAATCATGGTTATTCACGATGTATCATTTGTAATAGTAGGAAATAATTTCAAATAAAAATTTATTGATTTCTTCAAAATTAAATTGCATTATCAATATGTTTATACTCTACTAGCATTTTTTCAAAAGGTAATTTTAGTAAAAAATAATTTAACAATTTTGCAGTATAAACCACAGATAGGTTCCTTGGGTGTGGAGCAAACACAAATATATATATATATATATATATATATATATATATAAACAAATTTGATAGTTCTTACATGTCCTAAAACCAACTTGGAGGTCACAAAAATTATTTTTTCGTAACAAATATTAAATTAGATTTAATAAATTAGATTTAATACAGAAGCAGAAAAAATGAGGTCACACTAAGGTTAAATTGTAATTATATCATCACATCAAAAGTTCTTAGTTGAGGCATTATCAAAGTTGATCTTTCATCTTATTTTTGTTGCCTTTTTCTAAGATTTTATGCAACACTTTACCCATTGAACAAAGAAATCCATAACTTATGCATCTGTCAGTCAGGTTGAGATATACTAGCACATTTCTCACTCTCCATTAGTGTTCTCTGTTTATTATTTGAACTTTGTCCCAGAAAAAGAAGATGTATGATCTCTTCTCCCCTCTGTATTACATCCGACATACCCAGTCTTTTCTACTCCTTCTATATGGTTCATGTTGCTGGGGGTGAGTTTCTTTTTTTTTTTTCTTTACAGAAAAGTTCACCCTTTACAGGGCCCGGGGCCACTCAAGGTAGAAGGTTATGTTAGGAGGCCATTTGTGTGTATAGAAGTGGAAGACAATGGTTAACTCGAGTCTTGAACAGGGTTAAGATTGTAGTGATCAGGGAAACATCCTCTTGGGAGTTGGTTCCACAAGGCAGTAGTTTACGGGAAGAAGCTGTTCAAGCAGAACTTACTTCTCACCAATTGAATATGGAGGGAATGTGGGTGGTTTGCTACAATGTAAATGGCATGGTGTGTTCTTGCCATGAAGGTTTGACTTGGCAGGACCAGGGAATGAGAATAATTTGTCACGCACAAGGGCTCGGCAATGCTTTTGGACTCTAACAAGGCTGAAGAGTGAGGTCTGACATAAATATGACAACAGTACTGAAACAGTCATTACATTAGCCACATTTTCTTTTCCTTTTTGTCATCATTTTCTGAAGGCAAAAGATTTTCTTGTTTTCTTTACATATCGTCACTCTGAAGAGGGCTATAGAATGGAACAGCTGAAATTCTGTGATAGCAACAAAAGCAACATAAAAAAAAATTAATGTTTTATAAGAATAAGTGTTGTTGCCGACACTGGTTTGAAATTAGATTGCTAGTGAGTAACACGGGTAATTCCATTATTAAGTAGATAACATGACCATAGAGGAAGTGAATAAATATGAAGTAGCATGATCACTGTTCCCTCTTCTTATCTACCCACTGTTGCTATATGTTCACTCTCTCTACTCTACTACTATACAGATTATGATTCTCTTCTGATCATTATTTGGCAATTACTACTTGAACAAGTATTACTAATGCAGATATTATTGGAAGCCATTACTAGTAGTACTGGCATCAACAAAATCTCGAATATAACGGGCATTTTTGGAAGTGATAACGAGCTTTCGCTTGACATAGCAAAAGTGCCAAGTGAAGCTGTCCAACATTACAAAAGTTAAATAGGCTGAAAATCTCAAAGCTCTTATGTAAGTTATATTATGTATAAAACAGCTCTTAGAATTAGGTGTCATGAGAAACTTTGTTTGAATTGTTAGGTAAACTTGATATATTTGGGAAGGATATTAGAATACTCCAGAATTCATGCTGGGAGAAAACCACTTATATACAGATAGAAAATGAATTCAGTAAATATAGAAAAAAAAAATGTCTTCTCACTAAACTTATTCAACCATTACAGTGAGACGATTCTGAGAGAATTAGAATTCCTACCAAGTGGCAACAATTTTGACAACATTGTATATGTAGATGACACAGTGTTGATAGCAGACACAAAAATGCAGGAACTCCTACAGAAGATAGTGAAGGAAAGCAAAATGAGAGGACTAAACATCAGTTGCAAGATAGAATGTATATTTGTCAATTAGAGAAGAATACAAGTCCAAAAATTTAAATATCTAGGCAGTGTTCTTAACAGAGGACAGAAAATATGGCATCAAAATCTCAAGGCACATTGGGATAGCAAAAGTTGCCTTCCAAAAGTTAAGTAAAGTATTAAGAAACAGGGAAATCTCTTGAGAAATTATATGGTAATGAATGCTGGATAATCTTCTTAAAGATAAAGAGGAAACTATGGTAACAGAAATGTGGTTCTACAGAAGGATCCTGAGAATACCACTGACTGAACATGTGAGCGAGGATAAAATTTCTAGGGTGCGCAATAAGGAAAGAGGGCTTCAAAAATTTAACACTCTCAGAATGGATTGAAAGTAAGTGAGATAGACGAAAGCAGTGCATAATTTACCTAATGTGCTTGTGTAAAATGTCTGGCAGAACAAGGATTAGGAAAGATAGCTAAAAGACAAAATTTACTAAGAGCTACAAAGGGTAGGAAATTGTGGAGAGCCATGATTTCCCACACCCAGTGCTGTTCGATAAGTGACTCACCTTATCCTTTGAATTTAGCTCAACTTCTGTTTCATCGGAGAAGAGAACTTTCTTCCAGTCTTCTACGGTGAATTTTTTGTAATAGTGAGCCCATTCAAGTCTCTTGGCTTTGCTTATTAGCAGCTTAAACCTTCGTGTACAAGATTTGTAGCCTTGTTCTAACAAGATTTGTAACCTTGTTGTGACAGACTGTTGAAGAAGCAAGACTAACACCTTGCTCTTCGCTTAGACTGGCTGCAATTTCTTGGCTAGTTATAGTCCTATTCTTCACAATTTTTCTCTTGATTACCTTACCAGTTCTATTATCGATCTTTTGTCCCCTTTTTTCCTTCCTTGGAGCAGGAGTGGCATCATTATGTGCCCTAAACACTCGAGAGGCAGTTGATTGCAAGGTTATAGCAATTTCTGCAATTTCTCTCGTAGACTTGTCTGCTTTTGAGAGGGCAATATAGATACCTTAAGTGCTTCTGATGCGTGTTTGTACCCTTTCATCTTGTTAGTGACTTGAGTGGCTATTTCAAGCTGTTTTTATACTGTATGAAGCTTTCTGTAATATTCTGCAATAATAATTTGAGCGTATTGTAAAATAGTTTTCAATATTTTGTCAAAAGCTCCTTAAATTTACCAGTTTAATCATTAGAATGTGATATCTGAGTCACTTTTTTTGCACAAAGTTTTTTCCTGAATCTCATTTATATCCAAATTTATAATTATCAATAGAATACCTTAGGGTGAATAAACTTTTTTCCCAGGTGGTCGGGAAGGGGTCTTTATATTAGTAAGATTAAAAATTATTTTAACCCTCAAAACAATAGACAAAAAATATTTTTAGTAAAAAAAATCAGGTGAGTCACTTTTATTGAACAGCACTGTATGAGAAAACTAAGTTCCTCCCCATTACTAAATGGCTGGATTCCATGAAGTAAAATTTAAGTAGGAGAGATATTCAGATATATCCATTAAGAAGTTAGCAGAAGTTTAGCTTAGTCTGGAACAAGGCCACAAAATTATGAGCAGTTGAGAGATATGTTTATTAAACATCATTTTAAGACATTTGACAACTATACTACATGAGCCACAATCATCATGTCACATGACTGGGTGTGGCCATAGGGTTAGTGTGCAACTGAGAACATAACCGGTCTCCCTTCAGTTATCTCAGTAGGTATTCATACAAAGCATGTCTGGGGCAAAATAAACCTGGCAGAGTCAACCCCTCTCCCAGTCTACAGTACCAACATCCAAAGATGTAGATATTGTCTATTCTTAGCTTAGTTTGGTAAAAGGCCACAGCTCTGAGGTACTAAGTAGGAAATGAACTTCTAAAAATGGCTTCAGGTTTAATCAAGTTCATAGCCAAATGATTATGAACTCTACTACATTTACTAATTTGTCTGTGATACAAGCTTACTTCAATTTAGGTGCCCATTTAATAAATTTAGCATAGTCTGGCATAAGGTCACTTATACTATGGTAGGTAACAGTTGAAACTCTTTGAACACATAACGAGGAAGATGGACTTGGAAAACTTAACTCTCACAGTGTATATCAAAGGCAAGAGAGATAGGGGAATATAGTAAACCACTTAGCTAATTAGCTTGTGTGAATGAATGGCAGAATGGGTGGACAGAAGCCTTAGCAAGGGATAGGAAGTTGTGGAGAGTCATGATCAATTATGTCCTAAAGAGATGCAGCAAAGAGAAGAAGGTGCCCATTTAATAGACTTAATCATAAGGTTGCAGTAGTAGGGCACATAATGATTACTAAACCAATAACACTAACAAACTGACCTGTGAATTGACCTTAATATCTGCCTTGGGTGGCCTACAAGAAACTAAGCTTCCAAGAGCATTGCTCTCAAAATCATTGTGATACACAAGTTTCTTCACCAGGGTATGGTGATGATCCAAGAAGTTAATAACCATCCTGTTTCAGTAAGTTCATGAATTGATGCCTTTTTGATTCATGTTGGAATAAAAAAAAAATTCCATAGAAATTTTCTTAAATATAAGTTTTTTTGTTGAATTTTTGTGGTTTTTAAACTTCAAAAAATTTTTTTTTTTTTTTTACTGCAGATTAATTGATGGCACAAATGTGACAATATCTGATGAACACATGTGGTTGGTGCCATTTACGTCTGGTCAACAGCATTTGGTAAACATTGAATTTCCACAGCCTATCACAATATCGGGTATTCGCATTTGGAATTACAACAAGAATGTCGACGATACTTACAGAGGAGTAAGTCTTCTTTGTTATTTTAATCATTAGAAAGTGGGCAGCAGCCTTGGGGATTCACAGTTGTCATGTTTCCAATCAGCCATTATAAATATTCTACACTGAAATATAACTCCTGATAGAAAATTTACCCATTCACATAAAAGTATATAATTGTTTAGTGCAGATCAAAATCTTGTAGCATAAATATTCGGTCAGGAGGAAAATGCATAAGATGCTGAATAAATTAACTTTTAAAGTGGCTGGTGTAAAACTGTTCAAGGGAAGAATTTGGTGTTTAATGTGGATTTGGGAGAAACTGCAGGAAACCTTAATTGCTAATTTCTTTCATAAGAATGCAAGGTACACCATTTACTAAGTTGATGTGTTGAGGTAAATGAAACTGAAAAAGGATTTATGAATTAAACTCTGAATGGAAAGAGATATAGGAATGTTTCCTGCTATCCAGGTAAATGTTCAAAGTGAGTCTAATCAGAAAAATATATTGATTGAAACAACAATTGGGAGGACGTTCATCCTAATGTTTCATGACATAATGACCTCCATAAGGTCCTTCAAATAATACATTATCTTTTTTTAAAATACCATCTCCTACCATAGCCATTGGCAATGATGACTATCCACAGATTTATTTTCTTTATTTTCTGTGAAATGCCAGGAAATCATTGGAAAGATGGTGGAGTGGTTTCTTGTTTACTTTTCCATGGTTTGAATTCAGACTTTTAAACTGTTTTCCATCCAAGTCTAGAAACCCCAGCCTCCCCTCCTGTTTAGCTGGGTTGGGAAGAATAAATGGCTTCATGTCTTTCTCAAGGGTATTATTGTGAAAGTGAACACAACAGACTAGCCTGGAATTTGACTGCTCAGAGGAACAAAAAGCACATTGCCCAAAATATAATGATCCCCCCAACAAAGATGAGGATAACTGTACGAAACATAAACACAGTACTTAATCTTGAAACTTCAGATAGAGATTCCGGTTTTGTTGCATGTAGGTTAAATAAGGAAACCTACCATGTTTTTACTTTTGGATTTCCAAGACTGAAAAATGATATATATTTAGGTTTTAAGCCTTGATTCTATTTATTTTGCAACATTGACAACACAGACAAACAATGAAAAGAAAGATGCCAAAAATGAAATCATTACAAGATGGCTCTGCCAGTAAATGTTTGCTAAAAGAAAGAAAAAAGAAAAAGGGATGTTAAATAGGCAGCATTCAGCTGCTCTGTGCTTGTCACTAAGTTGTCTTTACGTAAATCAGTCAAGTTGACCTATGTCCATCTCTTAACTCTCTTTGTGCATTTGTCCCTCAAGCTCACCATGCAGGTGCTGTCACATACTTTGCCGATTCCTGCAGAGAAATAAACAAAAGATAATTTGATTACAAATGCTTGTTCTGTGAAAATTATTTATTGATTGCTAACACCCAGTTACTTCCTCTCCATAGAAAGTCTCTTTACTCGATTCTGGGAGCAATATTCATCTGACAACCCTTTCAGCCGCAAGCGTATTTAGGCTGACAAGGGTCTGATCATAAATAGGAAGACTGAACACAAACTAGCCTCAAGTGTTGATTGACGAGGTGTGCATGTGTGAAGTAACCAGAACTAATTGACTTCCCTATGGCTTCAAAGGAGATGTGCAATGTATTGACAGCAAAGCAACCTGGCAAACACAGTTGGACAGATTGATAGATGTAAAATTGTGCCCTTGACAAAATTCTCTTGTGAGCACAAGTTAAATAGGGCACTACCTAAAAAAAAACATAAGCCCACTATTTTAAATTAAAATTATAGTGAATAATTTAAATAATTTGGAATTAATAAAGTGGAGGTAGTGTGGTTCCTCAAGAGATATGAAATCACTCCTAAAAAGCATTACTTTTTCTTAACTTGTGTTCCATTGACTGTGGTTCTGAATTACAAGGAATAACTTAAGCAATGTTGAGCGTGGTGAGTACCTAGATAGTAACTACTTAGGAATACTAGGTTCTGTAAGCTTGGATGTGTGGGTGGTGTAATGGATAATGGCTCAGAATAGTTAATCAGAGAGCCGAGTTCCAATTACAGTTATATTCACTTATGCGCAAAGGTAAGGTAAGAATCCACCTTTCCTCCTGTTATGGGTTAGTAAGACTTGTATCATTAAATCATTTTTCTCTCCAAAAATTCTTACTGGCATTATGTAACCTGAAAAGGATTGATAAGCCATATAGAAAACAAATCAATAAAAAAAAAAATGAATTACAAGTAGTAACACTTTCACTGCTGCATTGTTATAGCATTTTTGAATGGCTCTACTATCCTTTCATTTTTTGGGGAAAAAAATTGCCTTTTACTGGAAACAAATAGCTATAAAGACACTGATGGTGATTTCTCATGGATGCTGCAATTGTGATTTTGATATGATACTCCACTGTACTTCCAGAGTTTCATGACATTCCCAATATACAATATTAATCACAACATTTTAGTTTTCGGCCAATCGCAACATTTCAGTTTTCGGCCAATCGCAACATTTCAGTTTTCGGCCAATCGCAACATTTCAGTTTTCGGCCAATCGCAACATTTCAGTTTTCGGCCAATCACAACATACCCAGGTCTGACAATCACCATATTCCTCTCTGCTTGTGACTTTTTCCTCTCCAAATATCAAATCTCACTTCAAAGGAACAAGATTCAAAACATTGAGGAAATCCAAGAGAATATGATGAAGTAGTTGCTTACTATCCCAAAAGAAGGAATTTTAGGAATGCTTCCATCAATGGAAACAATGCTGGGTAAAGTGTGTGGCTCCAGAAGGGGACTACTTCAAAGGAGAATAAATGCAGAATGGGTATGTGTTGTAGTTTATTTTTTATAACGCCTGTCCCAATACTTTTTGATCAGACCTTATATACATGTTGACAGCAATGTAACGTTCATAAAGATGTATAAGTATGACTACAGTAGCAGAAGAGTGTAAATTTATTTAAAAACAATTCAATATGTCATTGATCATGGTCAACAATATATTGTCAAAAAACATCTCAGGTGGTGTTAAGATTAAAGCATCATTTCAACTTGCTTACAAAGCAATGAATTTATTCAATAAACAAAGTCTTTGTATAGAAATTGTGTTTACATCGCAGACAGATTCATGGATTCATCTTTTGAAGAAATTTTCAATGAAGAATTTTGTTGATTGGATCTGTGAACTATTCTTGTTGGCTGATTAGCAAAAGTTGATGGACATGTTAAAAGATTTTCTTTAAAACTAATGAAATGATTCATTAACCTGATGAAATTTGTAATGTCAAATGAATATTTATTGTTTTGTTCAGTGGGAATATGAATGTTAAAAAAAAAAAAAATGACCATTACTTCATGTAATATACACCTGAAGAAGACCAGAGACCCCAGTGGTTGAAACATAATCATAACATTAAAAAGTAAGGATTCTTGTCTATTCATTGAATAATTCTTCATCACTCAAAAACTGCAGTTAATTTGAACTCATTCTACTTCTGTATTACTTGTTCATTCTTTTTTCAAACCATCAAATTGTTTTTTATATTATATATATATATATATATATATATATACACACAGTGTAACCCGGATATAAGAGAGATTTTCTCTGGTCCCAAATTAGAGCCTGTGTTAATGTATATAGAATAGACCAAACCGGATATAAGAGACTTTTTCTGGTCCCGACAACCTTTTTTATATCCGGGTTATTGTATATATATATATATATATATATATATATATATATATATATATATATATATATATATATATATTATTGATTCTGATCTGGTATCTCAGCTTTAGTCACTTTCCCACCATCATAAGGTTGCCCCTCTCTGCCTTTTTATAAACATTTTCATTGTTCGAATGAACTCTTCACTATGATACCGAGACTTTTTGAATTTAAGTGCAGTACAAGACTGGCATCAAGATCTCATCAATTTAAAGTTGAGCTGGCTAGATGTAACCATAAATTCTATGCTAACTTTAATCTGCAAAAGTTTAAGTGCAATGTCAATTGCTATCTACTGTCCTCCTTATTACTCTTTTCTCTTCCCACTCATTAGTAATGTTTCTGTTCCTAATTCCTCCATAACCTGTAACCCCCTGCTTATATATGACCCCGTGTCAGGCACAGGGTCATATATAAGCAGTATTATATGAGCTAGGTGGTATATATTAAGTGTGTGTAAAACTTCCCACACACCTTCATTTTTTAAAAGAATATTGAATATATAGTAGAAATGTTTTTTGTAATAAAAACTGTGGGGAAAATTGTGAAAATGGCTTACCTCGGAAACGCGTGCGAATCTGTGCAGTATGCAAACTCTGGTCCTCCCAACGGCAAAAGGAACCAAAATGGCAGTGGCCATATTTTAATCCGGGCGGTCTCGGTTAGTTAACGCGAAATCTCGTTGTCTCGTCATTCGCATGCAAATCGTGGTCGGTCCTCAGCTGTATAAAGCAGGCTGTTTTGCTGTTTCAGATCAGAGAGCTTTTCGCTCGTGAGAAGGTTGGACGGCGATAACGGGTTTTCTTTTTTGTTCCTACCTGCTATCATCAGTTGAGTTGTTGCGTTACCTCCCACAAGGACAAACATTGCATTCTTAGAAGATTTTTAAATTTGTTGATTTTTTTTGATTTTTTTTTTTTTTTTTTTCTAAAACTAAAAATTAAATGACAGTTGTGTGACCTGTAAATTTTTATAACCTGAATGTGGGGAAAATTGTGAAAATGGCTTACCTCAGCTAACAATGTAACCCAGTGGACTGGATGATCATTCACAGAGACTTGGATATTGGCACACAACTGCAGCATATGGAGGAAGCTGGTCATGTGCTCAGCTGTGCAGCATTTCTACAATCATACCCACTCAAAGCACTGATGAACATGAATAAAACTCACGCTCTCACTCAAAAACATTTTAATAAAAGTCAGTTTTGAGATTTCTTATTTAAATTTTGTTTGAGCATCTTTTGGCTATCTATA